CTTGCTAGTAATCACTCAGACTTCACTTCCCAGAATCCTTCGCCTGCTCACATGACTCCGGACTTCACTTCCCAGAATCCTCCGCCTACTCACGTGACTCCGGAAAGATCATCAGCGGCCTATCACCGCTCAAGTTCGCCTGAGTATTAATGATGCACACCTGTGTGTTTATGTCATATGACTTACCTAGCTGGTATATTAGCCCAGGCTATAGTTGGGTTCGTTGTGAGGTATTGTTTTCTTTTTTTTTGTTTTTTTTTACACTTAAGTGTTTTGAGTTTTTTTTTACACAAGTAGACAAAGATGTACGATGTATACAATGATGAAACATCACAGACAGGACGACACCAGGAAAAAAGAAGGGGAACAAAGGGAGGGGGGGGGAGGGGTTGTCTATGGTTACAAAACTCTTATCAAATGATCATGTTTAAAAATACAATATCCTTGCATTCATGTCTATTTATCCCTTATGGTTTCATATGTTATCCATTTCCGCCACTTGTTAGCAAATACGTTTTCCCTCAATCGAAGTTGGTAAGTCATTTTTTCTAGTATATAGATTTGTCTTACAATTTCCACCCACTGTTCTGTTGAGGGGGTTCAATTTTGTACCAATTTCGTGTTGTTGCTTTTTTGCTGGCTGTCCAAAGTATTCTTGTCAAATATTTATCATTATCCATAACATGTTCATCTATATGTCCAAGATACATAACTCTGCTTTCTTTAGGGACTGAATAACCCAAAATGTCTTTAACCACATCGTATACATTTTCCCAAAAAGAGTACAGTTTACTGCATTTCCAAAATATGTGTATGATTGGCCTCCTTATTCCTACACATCCTCCAACATGGCCGTCGAAAACCAGTTTGTTTACTGTGTATTTCAGGGTCAAATTCTTCCATCCAAATTCTTTCCATATCCTTGAGTTAGTGGTCATGTGCTGTGTTATACACATTTTAGTCCACTCTTCCTCTGTAATATCAATGCTTAACTCTCTCTCCCATTTAGCTTTTATGTATAGAGTTGAGGAAGCCTGACATTGTCTCAGGCTGCGGTAAAGCTGGAACGTCACCTTAAATTTTGTCCCAGCGAGGTATTGTTTTCCATTGTGAGACTACTGAGCGTTCTTCCTGTTGTGATTTATCTTGTGTATGACCTTCTGTTAACCCTTTCTCTCGTTGACACTGTTTTTGGATTTGCCCTTCTGTACTGTTGCCTGGTTTCTTGGATTTTCGGTTTTGACTATTCATACTCATGTATTTTGGACTTTGCTCTGTTTTTTCCCCTTTTCGGTTATGGTCACCTTGTGTATTCTATTGTTTACCGTGGGACTGACCCATGCCTGTTTTTTGACAACGTTAAACTTACCTGAATCCCCAAGTAAAACCTCTTTTGTGTTTGATAACCACGAGCGTCTGCTTACTGGTCCATCATTACACTAACACTATGTGTACTTGTGTTTATGCTTGTATTTTTGCACAGAAAAAATATAAGCTCTGTTTGATTCCACACATTAGTCTGTGTAAATGTAGACATGTGTGAAGAACAGTGCAGTTTATGGTTTCATACCAGCCAATAAGTTAAACTCTAACTAGCTTTAGAGTGCCAGCAAATGCTGAAAAAGACAATCAAAGTGTTAACTGAGGTTATTATGGTGGTTCCAGCTGTCTCGAGCAGGTGGAAAATGAACTAGAACCAGAACTGTTCTTGTTTCTGAATGTGCAGTGGAAAAAACCCAGCCCTTTCCAAGCTATCTGACAGCAAATCTGCAAATTTTCACAGGAGGTCTGAACCAAAGTCGACCTAAAGAGCCTTTTCTGTTACCATTTTGATGACGGCTGTCAGCCAAGCCACTCTCAGGCAATAGCTCCTAACATATCAGTCTTCTGTTTACCATCTGTCGCTTCACAGTGCAGTAAAAATAAACAGCAGTAGATGGATTTAAGAGCCGTCACTCCATTTCTCGGGCCGAGGACTTGGTTGTTGGTCGATGACTTTCAGTATTAACTTGTCGGCACCGGAGAAGCAATACAGTAAGACTCCTCAGGACCCCATTTAGCTGTCTGCGCAAGGCCTGATGGCTAGGAGAGGCAGCGCCATATTACTATTGATTTTGCTGGAAGTGATTGCCCAGGAGCTACACTTATCTAGAAAAAAAAACCTCTTTTCATTTGTCTGAAAGCAATCTCTACTCCTAGTTTAGGAATAAAGATGGGGTTCTATGGAAATATGGGCACTTCACAATAAACATGGAGCACTCAGTGCTTTGATTGTAATTGATTCTTGAAACGACAAGCTATCAGACACGGCAGGATGGCTATTTTCGGCCTGCCGTGTCTTCTGTTTTTTGCCAAGTGCTGCGACACATTAAGAAACCAACAAACGTGTAAATGAGAATGCCCCCAGTCGTACTGGGAGTCGGCGCGGAAAGCAATCAGGTAATGTTCGCTGGCGACGCTGAAAGGTTGCATTTTTCGGTCTATCTCCTGGGGTGAATTTCGGCTAAATTGGTATTTAATTGCCTTGTTTGGACATTGATTCTGATGTAAACACCATTTTGCTTTTGTAGCTCCCAGATTCCAGAGAGATCTTTCTAATCATATTCCTATTTGCCCAGTTGTCACAGCTTTATGGAAAGTGCATATTTGTTTGCGTTTAACATTTCCACGAGTCAACGCGGTATAAGCAGCATCGGACTGTTTTATTAGTATCCCATAACATCTAGCTTTGCGTTGGCTTCAGGAGACGGGTCCGCTGTGAAAGTGTCCATACTTTGGTCCAATGTTTACAAGGCTACCAGCCTGAATTGGCCTTTGATCCACAGGCTCCCTGCTAACCTCAACACCACCTATCATACCAATCAGCCCCATGAATACCTGTCTGACACGGCGGGGCCGGAGAGAGGGCTGAATATGAAATGCAATCAGGCCGTTTACTGCTCCCTGTTTAGGGGCCTTGCCTAGATTGGATTAGTGTGTGGAATTGATTGGCCTCATTCTCCGGCTCAAGGCTGGGCTTGATTGATAGATGCATTGTGCGTGGTTGTGTCTTCGACAATACCTGTGATGAATAGGGCGATAGTGCCGTGTCTTCCTCGGCCCTCCAATGAATCACCAGAAGCAATTTATCACCGCGGTGTTAAAAGGCCAAAAAAACAGGGGTTGGATGTGATGCGGGATGGGGTTGTTTTACCCTTTTCCCTTTGGAACCGTTCCCTCTCACCTCGCTCGACTCAGGACCATATTTACCTACCGAATCTCAAACTCATTGACGAATTAACTGACCAAAGAACTACTGGGACAGGACTAGTTTTCCCTGGGGGGTTTCTGGGGTAACATAATAATTTCACCACAGGACGTCTGCAGTGTTTATGACTGATTCACACAGGATAAGAAATCATGGTGTAAATTACAGATGTGAGCAGGGCTGCACGATTTACTCAGAGACAGAAAAGTTCCATGCAAACAACGTTCAGCTGCTCACAAGTATAAAACATCTAATCATTTAATTTACTTGCTGTGTCAGGTGCAGTGGTTTACATTTAAAGTCAACATCACTGCAAAAAAAAACTTCTTTGTCATGTTACATGTTTACTGTTCATGTAATGTATAAAGTATACAAATAAATACTTCTTCCAGTTCCTTTACATTTAAGATAGAAGACAAACAAACACCTTTTTCACAGGTTATGATGGAATTTTTACCAACATAGCAATTCATATAACTGTTATTTTTATGGTTCATTTTATAGCACAGGATTAATATAACCTGGGGTTAATTTATGGTTCATTTATAGCACGGGATTAATATAACCTGGGGTTAATCTATGGTTCATTTATAGCACGGGATTAATATAACCTGGGGTTAATTTTTGGTTCATTTTATAGCACTGGATTAATATAACCTGGGGTTAATTTGTAGTTCATTTTATAGCACGGTATTAATATAATCTGGGTAAATTTATGGTTCATTTTACAGCACAGGTTTAATTTAACCTGAGCTTATTTGTACACTTCATTTTATAGCACAATGTTAATACGACCCAGTGTTATTTCTGTGGTTGGTTTTATTGCATGGGATTAATACAACCTGAGGTTGTTTCTACTGTTCATTTTACAACGCAGGGTTAATATAACCTGGGGTTAAGTCTATCATTAGACGTCAGCTTCTTCCACCACCAGCACTGCTGGCTGTGTCACTGAGAACACTAAGACTTGATCTCTCAGCCGCAGGAGTCAGACATTCCTGTTAAGGTTAAGAACCACAACAACCATCACTAATGAATGTAATATTTTAGTGCCTGAGTTGGAGTATGTGTAATAAATTACTGCCATTTATCACAAATTGGCACCTTTGAGCCGGCAGTAATTACAAGCCTTAATCATCTAATTGCTACTCATTTAAGAAATTGAATTATTGTCACCATATGTGAGGAGAAATGTTCGATTTTGGGGTTTTTCCATGGGCTCACTCATTTATTTCTCTTTCTCTCTCTCTCCCCGTCTCTCTCTCGCTCTCCTGTTCTGCCGTGATACTATATCATTCTGATAATAGCGTGGCCATAAAATGGCATATTGTCTCATAAAATTTGAATAAAATGGATGTAAAGCTGCCGCCAGAAATCGTTTTATGCTGTGTGTAGTCTTTCGGCTCCGAGTTGCTCTCATAACAGGCAGTTATGCTTCAAGTCCTATTGTCTAGATGGATGCGGTATACGTGAGCGAGAGCACTTGGCTGTCTGTGTGCCTCCAAAAAGCAGATAAAGCAATAGGCAAAGGTCACGATCTGCTATTATTAAACTTCCTTTACCACTTTCTGGGTGTCCTATAGACTCGCTGTCAAAATAAGAACATATTCTATCTATTTTCACACAGCTGCACCACGTCTCTACATTGCCTTAAAAGCCACTTTGACATTTAGTTTCATCCCAGTTTCACCTCAACTGCACATAAAACTCCACTGTCTGCATTGTGGGCTCACAGTGTGTATGTTCTCCTCAGGTTCCTTTATGATGGTGAACGCATCCGGCCGCGCTTCGGGCCAGAAAGCCCACCTCCTCCTCCCGACGCTCAAAGAAAACGACACGCACTGCATCGACTTTCATTACTCCCTCTCCAGCCGGGACGGCCGCAGCCCCGGATCCCTGAACGTCTACATCAAGGTGGACGGTGGGCCGCAGGGGAACCCCATCTGGAACGCCTCTGCACCGGTCACTGAGGGCTGGGCCAAGGCTGAACTGGCCATCAGCACCTTCTGGCCCAACTCCTACCAGGTGAGAGTAGCCCAAAAGCATAAGAGCCCTGTGACATCAGCATTCAGTACTGAGAGTTCAGGTTTTTTCACACCTTTTTTGGGATTTGATTTGGGTTTTTAGTTAATATGCACTACTGTTCAAAAGTCTGAAAATCACTTGCCAGAATAAAAATGTGCAATAAAACCACAACCACAAAAACAACATTGATTAAAATAAACGATTTGCCATTTTGTGCAAGTATTCTGCAAACAGGAAGTTATTACATGATGAATAAGGTACTGTGATCTGTTTATCTGAATAATTTTGCCTTGAGATTTGATCTCTTTTGAAATGTAACAAGTTCTGGATATTAATTATTATAACTTAGCTTTCTCTGTCATATAGACACATTTATCATGTCTACATTTTTATTTACAGCTTTCTAGTTTCCTACTAATTACATATTGGAATCATTTTATACATTTATCTGCAGCCAAATTTGTTTTACATTGTTGAAAACAGTCACTCCAAACTTTTGAGCAGCAATCAGTAGTACCTGTGGATGAATGTGAATAGTATGAAGCTTTTTTTTCTGATCAACTTCTTATCACATTTCACAACAGAGGTAGGGGGGGGTGGGGGGCCACATACAATGCTAGGTGTACCACAGATCAAAGACAGGACAAAGATACAAAACAAACAATGTAATAAATGAATAGAGTCATATAAATTCGCTCAATTACTAAATGTGCATTGCTTTGCTTCATTAAGTTTAACTGTAAGATATTCCATTCGAACTAGATATATGGAATTTCATTTCATTTCTTTTTTATTTTTTTTGGTAGCTGTAAAATCCGTCATTAGCATCTTTTGCTGAGTCAAAGAAAAGAAAAGGGTTTAGTCATCATTGAAGAGGCATTAATGTGGCAACAGTGGAATAGTCTATGGAATATTCCATAGATCTGCTACTTTAAATCGTTCCCACATGTGCATGAATGTACCAGGTGCAGAGTTACAAATATTGCAGGTGTAAATAAAAATACATTACATTTGAAGTCTCCTGTAAGGTGTTGCACATGCTCTGTGGATTATTTTATTGTGGATAAACTGAGGTGTGACTTAAATTAGACCATATAATATTCCAGTCTAAAGCAGGAGCAGTGAAGGAAAGCTCTCGCTCTCAGAGTTGTTCACCTGCTAACTGCTTAATATGATTCAGACTACTAGATACACTAGATTGTCCAAAGCCTTCTTCTTCGCCTAGAACCCCAACCCAAGTTCTCAGAGTTCTCTCCCCTCCCTTAATCAGTCTTCCCTCACATTACCATCACATCTTGAAGGCACAATGCAAACTCGCAAAGTTACCTGAAAAACATTGCAGTTTACCAAATGTTAAAGTTAAATGATTTTTGGTGCCACTGCATATTCAGCACACTTAAAAAATGGTTCTTCAAGGGTTCTTTACCAAAGAAAATGGTTCTATATGAAACTATGACCGCTCAGTGAACCCTTTGCATGATTAAAGGGTCCTTTGCATCATATAAGGGTTCTTCAGATTGATGAAGAATGTGCTGTAGATTGTTTTATAAAGAAACCTTTTTAAAAAGGGTTCCATTTAGCACCAAAAAGGGTTCTTCTATTGTTAAAAGCTTGTATCGTAATAGTAACAGAACCTTTTTTGGAACAGGTTCCATATAGCACCAAAAAGGGTTTTTCTATTGTTACAGGCTTGTATGGTAACAATGACAGAACCCTTTTTGGTGCTTTATGGAACCCTTTTCAAAAAGGTTCTATATAGAACCACCTACAGCACATTCTTCATCAATCTGAAGAACACTTTCATGATGCAAATGGTTCTTTGAGTCTTCATATTTCTATATAGAACCATTTTCTTTAGTAAAGAACCCTTGAAGAACCGTCTTTTTTAAGTGTGAAGGGCAAATCAATTCCAACCAAATGCTGCTGACAGTCGTATAGCCATGTTTATAATAACTCAGGGTCCACGGTGGAGTTTCAGTGTCGTTCTATTGGTTGTGTAACAGTCATATGAGGCAAAGATGTTATTTTTTTGCTCAGTGGTTTGTCAGTAAGATCCTGAGCGTCAGCGTTAGTGACCGAGCGTCCTGTGAAGCCTAAAAACTCGGCCAAATCGAGCTGGCCCGCCTGAGACCTCTTCACTACGGGACTCATTTCATTTGGCAGCGAGTCTGTTTTATTTTTACATAGTGAAAGTATGAAAGACGTCTAATTAGATCCCTTTCCAGTGTCCAGGCAGATTTGGGTCTAACGGCGAATTGGCCCTTCCGACCTGTGCCGGGCGGCCTAATGCGCGGTGGCTTCGGACCACTTTGGCTGTAATGGTCTAGATGAGCCTATTTTCAGTCCTCCAGTCTGGGTGAATGGAACCAAAACAACTCGGAAAAGTGGGCTGCACTCGCCCTGCCGCAATTAACACCGCAATTCCCGCTGTACCTTAATCGCTGCCGCAAATGGACACGGCGAATACGCTCTCAGCCATTTTAGATGCCTGCATATCCTCGTGCTACGTGCTTCCTCTCTCTCTCCCCCTCAGAGTCTCTCTCCTTCTCTCTCTCTCTGTCAATACGTTTGCCTGTCGGAGCGGACGGCCCTCCAAAGATTAGCTATGTAATTGAATTAGCTAATGAGGAGGATAAATATTTAGCCTCTATTGTGAATATTGAGCTTGGCTGTGGCTGCGCAATAAGCGAATATTTACTCAGGCTGCGCGTCTGTTTGGCCAGCAGGTAATTTTAAAAACCTGAGCGCATGTGTGCGCTCGCCCGGAGATTTCTGTCATCGCTGAAATTTTTAATGCCATTTGAGTGTTTGTGTTCAAAGGAAGCTATTTAGAGTCTTTTGAAAAGGAGCTCTTCCTTCCTAACTGAGCCGAGCTCGATGAATTGGCTGTTAAATATTGGGTTTTAATATCTACTGGAGAGCCCCTCCCCGGGATCATAAACTATACAGGAAAAAAAACATCCCGCTGTGCGTTTGATTGGAGCAATGAATGTCACCCAACAGATAAGTGGCCAATTTTGCCAAATGAATCTCTGGCTTAATTGACAAGTTCCCCATCACGGCGAGGCTTGAGTCCTGGGGTGCCATTTTAAGCGCTTGCACGTTTGAAGAGGACGCTCGTGCTATGTTGTGAAACTTATTACGCGTGAAATCTGTCATTTTTCTCCCCTCTGGACGGGTCTGAAGGGTAAAACTCTGCGGCGCTGCTGTGGATATGATGGAGGAATATGTGATGATTTGACCTCGGTGGAAATGATTATTGGAGTTTTCACAGCGAAAAAGTTCTGCGATCATAAACTTAGCATTTCATCAGAAGTGGCTTCATATAGAGGCCAAATGAAGACAGTGCAGTATGTTACACACTGAGGCAGCAATGTGCATTCTGACTCAGCGGTACAGAGTCAGCGGGTCAGTAATCTATCAGTATTTGGTTTTTATAAGTACAGAGTCAACACTGTATTTTAAGGATAATATTTGCACGTAAGTAAAACTTTCCTCCAGTTGGCAGCACATGCATGTGGTTGACAAAGGTAATATAAAGAAATAACTGGAATATAAAATGTACAGCTTTATGTAAACGTAAAGCTTTATTGAACATCACCATTTAATCAGAATCAGAATCAGAATCAAGCTTTATTGGCCAGGTTTGCTTACACATACAAGGAATTTGGTTTTGGTTACAGGAGCTCACAGTGCAGAGTATCAGACAGACATTTAATTGTAGCGAATAAAATAAAATAAAATAAAATAAAATAAGATAAAACATGCATTCCTACCATCACTCACTCACACACATACACACAGTCACACCTGTAAACCTTTTTAATGTAATGTAAATGTAATCACACAGCATGGAATTATTTTTCCTTTTTAACATGATGATACACAATGTGGTGTACAGTGCATACTGGTACAGTATTCCATACAGTATATACTGGTAAAGTGTACACTGTATAGTATGTATATATACTGGTGCAATATATGTTATACAGTACATACTGGAACAATATTCATAATACAGTTTACAGTGGTACGGTATGCAGTATACAGTCTATACTGGTATGTTGTGTGATATACAGCATATACTGGTACAGTATGCAGTGTACAGTATGTACTGGTATGGAATGCAGTACATACTAGTGCCGTATATGCTAGTGATCCCAACATATGCTATTTACTGCATACTGTATACTGCATACTGGTACAGTGTGCAATATACAGCATTTACTGGTGCAGTATGCTCTATATAATGACACTAGTATGCACTGTATACTGCATACTGTACCAGTATATAGTGCATACTGGAACTGTACACAGTACATAGTGGTGCAGTATGTAATATACAGTGTGTACTGGTACAGTATGCAGTACAGAGTATATGCTGTATATACACTGTATACTATATATATACCAGTATATACTGTAGACTGGAACAGGACACAGAATATACTGGTACGGTATTCAGTATACAGTATGAACTGGGACAGAATGCAGTATATACTGATACAGAATGCAGTTTACAGTATATCCTGGTGCAGTATATGTATAGTTGGCACCAGTATACACTGTATACTGCATACTGTACCAGTATATACTGTATACTGGAACGTTACACAGTATATGCTGGTGCAGTGTGCAATATATACTGATAACAGTATATACTATTTACTATATACTGTATCATATATACCATATACTGGAACGGTACAGAGTATGTACTGGTACAGAATGCAGTGTGTACTGGTACAGTGTGCAGTATACAGTATGTACTGGTACAGAATGCAGTGTGTACTGGTACAGTGTGTAGTATACAGTATGTACTAGAACAGTACAGAGTACTGGTGCAATATGCGATATACAGTATGTACTGGTACACAATACAGTATATGCTGGTACAGTATGCAGTATACAGTATGTACTGGTACTTTATGCAGTATATACAGTATATGCCTTTACAGTATGCACATATGCAGTGAATTATTAACAGTTCTGTATTTAGTTACCTGCTAATAAACACAGAGAGGTTTGTGTGATCTCCCTCTGACCGGACTAGGGTCTACCTTCTTCTCTGTAACTCGGTGGGTCAGTATTGCGACACTCTGGCCTGCAGGATGAGAAAATAAGCCATTAAGACTCACTAACACTGAATGGAGTTGTAGATTTAATCCCTCTCCCACTCCTAATGGCTGATCAGTGGGAGAAGTGGGCCATCAGGGGAAGCCAGCGACTCTATTCTAAACCGTTCTAAACCGTGGCCAGGTTCTGGCTCTGCCGTCTCAGCTCCTGCCAGCTCGGAGAGAGGGGGCACTCAGCGGACCACACATGTCTCCACCACATGGCATGGGCAGCATGGCGTTCACTCTCTGCCAAACCCATATGTGAAAGCTGCGAGAGAGGAAACGAGAGCGTCTGTGTGTGCGCTGTTTTGTTACATTCAGTTAAAACTTGGATTACAATATTGTCAGTTAGAAATACAGTATAAATTAGGGCTGCACGATATGCCATGTGGTAATCTTTACCACGTTTGCAGTGCTGATTTCACTGAAGATGGCAGTGTGTAAGTGAGCCCTCTAACCAATCATGAATGCTGTGAGCATCCTGACCAATCAAAGGTCCATCGTAATCGAAAAACATAGCAATATAATTGCAATACTAGTATTTTGCTCATATTATGCATACAGCTGCTAGTGGGTCATGCCGTGAAATTTGCATTCTACAATACTGTGAAAAGGCCACCCTTCATCAATCAACCAACCAACCGACCTTTATTTTGATTTGAAAGTACATTGAGGGTGACCCTCATTAACACTGTAGCTGAACAAATTACACAGAGAATGAAAAAGTTTAAATGAAATTTGTCAACCAAAACAAATGAAAATCAAGACTAGATTTAAAAAAATAAAAACAGCTCAAATAGGAAACAAACAAACCAACATATAGAATTTTAGAAAAATCTAATAGTTTACTTAAATAGGTGGTTAGAGACTTTTTAAAATGACTTAGTGCCACCAGTGAGTACGTTTTAGAGACTCTAGGTACTGAAATTCTCAGTACCTGACAGGTGATCCAGTCACTGAGCGGCTCTGATAATTACTGTTATTAATAGAGATCATGGATAAGATGTAAGCTTAACCATCAAAACAGCAATTTAGTAGCCTTTATTCATTTTTGGCGATTAGATAGAAGACAGTCCACTTGCGAAAGGAAGGAGAAGATCAAATGCTGAAGTTAAAAACTGATTAAAAGCTACAGAGAAAATGTGGCTCCTAACAACCACCTGGAAGGCCTGGTCGACACCAAAACTGCCCCCATCAGATAAACAGCACTTAAAGCTTTCATCTTTGAGAGAGGAGAAAGTCAATCCAAGAAAGACTGAGCTGCTACGCATCCCTGGAACTACAGGTCCTCATCATGATCTCACCGTCTCATTCAAGAACTCTCTGATCGTTCCGTCTGAAGAGGTGAGACGTCTGGACTCTGGATGGCCAGTTATTGTTCTCGGCTCATATCATGAACCTGACTTGGTCATGGCCACCCAGGTGCTCGTTCAGTCTCTTGTCATCTCAAGTCTTGACTACTGCAACTCGCTCTTGGCTGGTCTTCCAATGCAGGACATCAAGCCTCTGCAACTCATCCAGAATGCAGCAGCTCGTCTTCAGCCTTCCTGAGTTCAGTTACGTCACTCCACTGCTGCGCTCCCTTCACTGGCTTCCTGTAGCTGCATCAGATTTAAAACCCTGATGATACAAAGCCAAAAATGGACCAGCCCCTCCCTCCCTGATGGCAACGGTCAAAACTCAAACCGTACCTCGAGCCCTTCGAGCTTCAAGTACAGCTCGGCTTGACCTGCCATCCCATAAGCATCAAGACTTTTCTCTGTCCTGGAGTCCAGGTGGTGGAACGAACTCCCACTGGCTGTCCGAACAGCAGAGTCTCTCGCGGCCTTCAAACGCAGACTGAAGACCGTCTCTTTATACAGCACTTAAGTGAGCACAGAGTTAAGTATGCACTTAAACTCTGTCTAATGCTTTCTTTTTCTCTGGGAATCAACACAGGCTTTTGTTTCTAGCAGTATCTGAGCAGTATCTTTTCTACTGATGGAAGATGGATAACTTGGCTAATGGCTGTTTTGAAAGGGAAATTAAATAAATGAAGGTCTAACATGGTCTCTGACATTTGCACAGAACTGTATAATACCTTTTATGGAGATTGTGAGCCCACTTCTTTGATGGTGTGGGTCAAAAAACACCATAGTGCAGTTATCACCTCTGATTTTCTTTGTCCAAGTTTTAGTCATGCTGTTGTGCACATGCACCCTGTGCACACCTGCTGCTTTGTACACATACAGGGTCAGCCGAACCCAGACATCCTGATTAAAGCATGCGGCCCACCAATGCGAGCGACTGACCTGCGTGTGCTTCACCTTCAAATGTATTCTTTCATACCAAGTGTAGAAGAAATGACTCTGGTCTTTTCTGTCATTCTTTATGGATGTGAAGGCTGGACAATAAGAAAGCACAACAGGAAAAATTTCAGTGCCTTTGATCTTTTGAGAGAACCTTGGATGAAAAGAACACAAACAAATGGATCTTTGACCAAATCAAGCCTTACCTCTCATTCTATGCTCTCAAAAATAAAGGTGCTAAACTGTCACTGGGGTCCTACCCCAGGACTGTCACCAGGGTGGAACCCTCGAGGGTCCAACTCAGTGCCTTTAGTCAGGGAACATAACTGAACCATAATCCACTGAAATGATATGTTCTAAGCTGTACTGACTCCACACACCCCGTCTCGTCTCCAGGCTTTTATTTTACTGTTCTGTTTAAAACATTCGGTTATGAAAAGGTACAAATACGAACTTTTCACCTGGAAAAACTTATTTAAGGTTCACAATCAGACCTTAAAACCACTGTTGGAGCTTTAAGGGAACATTTACACTGTTTGTACCTTCATCATCATCATCTTCTTGAACTGCTGAACTGAGTCCAGATACGGTCACAGTACCAGTAGGGAGAGCAGAGAATCCCGGACGACTCTGTCCTCTGCAACTACCTCCAGCTTTTTCCGGGGGACCCCACGCTGCTCCCAGGCCAACTTGGAGATATAATCCCTCCAGCGGGTCCTAGGATCACCCTGAGGTCTCGTTCCAGCAGGCTGTGCCTGGTAATCCCCCACCGGGAGGCATCCAGGGGGCATCCTAATCAGATGCCCGAACCTCCTCAACTGGCTCCTCTTAGTGTGGAGGAGTAACGGCTCTACCCCCAGGTGACCGAGCTCCTGAGTGAAGCCGCCACCCTGGAGAGAAAGTTCATTTCCACCACTTGTGTTCACGATCGCATTCTTTCGGTCATTACCCAAAGCTCATGACCACAGGTGAGGGTGGAGATGTGGACCGACTGGTAAACAGAGAGCTTTGCCTTATGAGCTCAGCTCCCTCTTCACAACTACAGTCCAGTACAGTGACCGCATTACTGCTGCCGCCTGTCCCAGCCTGCGGCCAAACTCACCATCCCTCTTCTCATCACTCGTGAACAAGACCCTGAGATATTTAAACCCCTCCACCTGGGGCAGCTCCTCTCCCCTCACCTGGAGTGGGCATGTCATCCTTTGTTTGTACCATGATGAACAAAAAAATGTACCTGCACAGAACCCATCTGAAGTTCTTATTTTGGAGACATTCTGAGAAGAAACAATCCAGCAGATAGAACAGTTAAGAAGAAGGAGGATGGCCAGCAAGCAATGGCCAGTCAAAGCAATCATGAACAAGCAGTTAAGAAGCCTGAAGACCCAAATGACTGACAGAACATTCTGGAGAAACGCTATTTATATGGTCACCAAGAGTCAAAACCGACTTCACGGCACTCAATCATAGCACTCATACAATTTCTCATTGGGTTGAATGAGGCTTTCTCTAGAGCGTGTTTAGCCTAATTAGAGTTGCCAGCAAAGAAAGCGTTTGTGGCTGACCTGGGTGGGTTAAATGAGCAACAATCTCGGAAATTATTCATATTTCATTTTACAGTCTTGGTATGTCTATATTTAATTCCATTCTTTGTTTAACTTTACCCCCTTTCCACAGTAGCCATGAAATGCAATTTCCACCTCTTTTGGAGCACCCTCAGTTAAACTCAATACATCTTTTCTGCAAAAGCATCAGTGGAATATATTTTGGTGGAAATGTATATGATTTATGAAACAAAATGGATTTTCTTCTTTGTAGGTGAGGAAGCAAGTCGACCTAGAGTTTTAAATATTTTAAAAGCTGTTTGTTTATTATGTTAGTGGTGCAGGACTGTTTGATTTGAAGAAAGCTGTGGTGGTCTGCTTTATCTCGGCAGGGCGGTCTTTGTGGAGAGTTGTTTTTCAGAGCAGGGGGTTCTCACCCCTCTTTTACCCCTCATTGCTCACTAGCAGCTCAACATGGATTCACGGACAGCAAACAGTATCCCAGTTAATCTGATAACAGAGTCTTGGGAAAAATATTTATTTCATTATATTAATTAAATATGGAAATCCATTCTGCTGGTGGAATAGCCAATAGGGGGCAGTGTAGAAAGACATTAATGAGAAACATCCACTGTCTGTCATTCAGATTTGACTTCCATTGCAAACATTTTCAGGCACCAGACTCGCTACATCGGGACATGCTTCTGATTTCGTTTTTGATTCTTTCAGTCTGGAATAATGTCTCTCTCTCTCTCTCTCTCTCTCTTTCCACCCCCACTTTCTCTCACTTTCTCACTTCTCTTGCTCTCCTTCTCACTCCTGTAGGTCATTTTTGAGGCAGTGTCCGTGCAAGGGCATCCCGGCTTTATCTCAGTGGACGAGATTCATGTCTTGGCTCACCCCTGCCGTAAGTACACTCACTCCCTCTCTCTTTCTCCCTCTCTCTCTCTCTCGGAGCGTCTGCTCGCCCTCAGACTCCTGACTGCACTGCAGGAGCTCAGTCTGTCGCCTGTTCTGAAGAGCCGCTCTGAGTGGACACACAAAGCCAAAGTAAACTTGTGTTTGTGTGAGTGAGCGAGAGAGAGAGAGAGAGACAGATTGCGGAGTAAAACTCTGAATCCTCGTCGCTCTTGTTCTGACAGAAGGCCTTTGGCTCGGCTCTTTGATTCTCTCTGGACAAAAACAAAACCCCACCCACCTTTAGGAAAAAAGTCCTGTACTGCAAAAATAGTATCTTATCAAGCGAAAATGATCTTAAAGAGATGGTTGTGCACTTATTGTAAGATTATCTAGATTATTTCTAGAAATGTTTCACTTGTTTTAAGTAATTTTATTAAGTAAAATTATCTCACTATAGTGGCACATTTCTTACAACAAGCACAATTATTTAGTACTATAGTGAGATAACTTTGCTCAATAAAATTATTTAAAATAAGTAAAAAATGACTAGAAATAAGTTAATATTCTAAAAGTAAGCTTTTAACAACAGGAGAAATATAAGATTTATTGCCTAGATTTGTGGTCATTTTACACTATTTTTGCAGATTAAAAGAAAGACAAAAGAAACAAGGCACTTCCTGTTAGGACCTGCATTGTTGACTGGGTAGGTTTTGAAAACTGCTGTCTTTACACTGCAAAAAATGTTCTCTTGCCAAGTAAAATTATCTGAAATACAGTCAATAAATCTAATATTTCTCCTGTTGGGATTGCTGTAAACTTAATTTAACTATTTACCTAATTTCCAAAACTTTTTTACTTGTTTTTAGTGATTTTATTAGTTAAAGTTTCTCACTACATTGGCAGATAATTGCGCTTGTTGTAGAAAATGAGCTTGAAACCAGCAAAATGATCTGCCAGTAAAATGAGATCATTTTACCTGATAAAACGACATAAAACAAGTAAAAAATATCTAGAAATAATCTGATCTGATAATAAATGCACAACCATCTCAAAATAGGAAATATTAGGTATATCGACTAGATTTAAGATCATTTCAGTTGACGAGATATCATTTTTTGCGGTGTAATATAAAAGGCCATTTGACTGATGTGCAGAGCGTCTACTCACAGAGCGTTTAGTGTGATGAGTGAGCAACGAAAACAAGCTCCTATTAAGTAAAGCGGAGTAGCAGTCAGCAAATGCGTGATGTTATCTTGTTTACTTGCTACGGTTTCCAATAAAATTCAGGAATAACATCTTAAGATAGGATATCTTTAATGTTTCCAGGTTTAGAGATCAGACTTACATCTTGCTCTGAAAGGATTATTGGTGAATAAAGATGTAACTGTTTGCTACAAGCACTTAGCTTGATAAACAACTGTTTGTTTCCCATCAGAACCAGTACATCCCACTCAAAACCAAAACACAGAAGTGCAGACAGAGCCAGTTTATATTCTCAGTTCAGTTTCTGAGAGCTGTGCTGATTTTAGCATCCAGACCACATCAGACAGTCCGTGTACGTCTCTGTGCAGAGTGTCTGAGAGTGAACTTACATACATATTGAAACACAACAAAAACTCTTATGCAGTGAACATCTCACATCTCCAGAACACTCATACATTTTTAATGTGCTGAAGGTGACAAATCGGCTACTTTTTTGTTGGTTTACGAGGCAAGTTTGTTTGTCAAAGTTCACCAAAGTTTAAAGGTTTAAAGTTTGAAGTTTGTTCACTGAAGTTTAAGTTTTGCACACAAAATTTGTTTGCCCACTCATTAGCGTCCTGCTGGTGATACATTCCCATACTTTGAAAACGGTCCCTTAAAAACCTTTTATTCTGCCTCAGGAGTAGATTAAAGGCAGAAATAGCCTCAAAGGTTTAAAAGGGTGAATTTTAAAGAGGTGAACTTTCAGAATGCATTGTTGAGTGTTTTGGTTGGTTTTTGCACGTCTGACAGGGAAGACGCCTCATTTCCTCCGGCTGCAGAACGTGGAGGTGAACGTGGGCCAGAATGCAACGTTCCAGTGCATCGCAGGGGGCAAGTGGTCACAAGAGGACAAGCTGTGGCTTCAGGTGAGTGACTTGCGCTCGTGCTCGAGCTCTGTTCTTGGACGTTTCAACGATCGGAAAATAGATTAGAGAGCCTTGTATTCTCCATGCTCGACTGCTCATGCCTGATGTGATTACATACACTACAATCTGTGTGTGTGTGTGTGTGTGTGTGTGTGTGTATATGTGTGTGTGTGGACGCTTCTGACTCACCTTATTTGCATTGGAATGTTCTGGCCCCTCAGCTGCAGGAGAGGAGAGCGCAGAGGTGCTCACTGAAACTAAATCACCTGCAGAAGATTTTCATCACTGTGAGATTTCTAATCCAGTCGATGTGTCTATGGTTTTGTCGGGGGGGGTGACTGGGAGGGTGGGGGTCTCTCGATGGAGTCCATGAGCCATTATTTAACTCTTTCCAGTGCTGAAGCAGTAAAACTGTCCACCTTCCATTTTCGTTTAATCTCCAGTTCAAACAGCCTTGAGTGCAATTTTTCAGGAGATATTGAGAAGAGATTAGAAATAAGACAATTCAGAAACTGCATACATGCTATACTCTTATAATAAAGGGTTCTTTGGTAAAAAAAAAGTTCTAAATAGAACGATAAACACTCGAATAACCCTCTGCATGAAAGGGTTCTTTGCATCATGAAAGGGTTCTTCACACTGATGGAGAATGTGCTGTAGATGCTTCTATAATCATTCTATAAAGCACCCAAAAGGGCTGTTCTATTGTTACAATGCCAAGCTTGTAACAATAGAAGCACCCTTGGGATCCTATAAAGAACCATTTTCAAAAGGGTTCTATATAGAGCCGTATACAGCACACTCATGCACATTTTCCATCAATCTGAAAAACACTTTCATGATGCAAAGAACCGTTTAAACATGCATCTAGGTTCTTTGAGTGTTCGTGGTTCTATTTAGAACCATTTACTTTTCTAAAGGACCCTAAAAGAACCATCTTTTTTAAGAGTGTACAGAGAAAATGAGGCTCCTAACAACCACCTGGAAGAGCTGGTCGACCCCAAAACTGCCCCCATCAGATAAACAGCACTTAAAGCTTTCATCTCTGAGAGAGAGGAGAAAATCAAGCTGATCAGATCTGAAAACATCCACAGGTGTTTCTGTCCATCCTTCCACTGTGAGAAGACGACTCAGCGCTGTGGGTCTGAAAGGATGTGTAGCTGATCAAGAAGAACCTCACTGAGAAAAGGAGACGGACACATCAAACAAAGAAGCTGAACGATGGACTGACCACCCCAGAGTCCAGACCTCAACACCACTGAATGTGTTTGATTACTTCAGAAAATCATCAACCAGCTTCTAAGACTGAACTTTGGAGGTGTGTCTGCAGATTCTTTGAGGAACTGAAAGAGAGTCTCCTGAACAGAATGGAAGCTGGAATAAAGGGAGAGAGTGACTCACTGACTCACACAGCTGAGAGTGGATTTAGCTGCTGAGGCTTCTGTGTAGTTTCTTGTACATAATAAAGGTTTGGACTGGAAATTAAACAAACTGATGGTGGTTTCTGACTATTTCACAGCACTGTGTGTGTGTGTGTGTGTGTGTGTGTGTGTGTGTTTTCCATCATATACTCTGTACAGAGAATGTTTTAAAGGGGAATTTCACCATTTTTTTTCAAAAGTTTTGCACAATTCAATCGATTTACAGTGGTGGTGATAGGAACCAGGGGTTGCCATGACTACAACACAAATATAGGCATTTTATTTACTATCCAAAACCACCAGTGAACCTACACGAGCCTTCTGAGTTTATATGGAATGTTGATGATGGAAAATAGTGGAAAATCTGAAATAAGTTTTCTTTGGGGACTATTTTGCCCCACAATGTGATGCATGTATCCCTCCTTTTTAGACTTACTTTTTTTTTTAATAAATACTTCTTAGCCCAAAAACGATCATAAACAGTGTCTCAGTCATCAGGCAGTGAATTCATAACCATTTCATATAATAACTGTCTGTGAGGGAGCTTTTAGAGGTGGACGTCTGGTTCCTATCACCACCACTGTGAACGATTCAGTAAGTTTCTCTAGAATGAAGCGTTTCACACCAAACCACTCTAAATGATTCTGACTCTGAATGAATGGATGCCTTTGAATACATTTAATTGTATTTTTGCTCAGTGATGCTTTGCCAGTTTTTTTTCCATGTTATAAGTTTCTGCTCCCAAGTAAGGCCACAGTAAATACATCCACAGTCTGTCCAGTGTAGTTTGGGCTGATGATGTGACTGATTTGTGTGTGTCACTCTTGCAGCAATGGAATGGGAAGGACACATCTCTCATGGTCACTCGCTCAGTGAACCAGCGCCGGTTCTCCGCCACCGTCCGCGTGGCCGACACGTCCCAACGTGGAACTAGCCGCTACCGCTGCGTGATCCGCTCTGACGGCGGCTCAGGGGTGTCCAACTACGCCGAACTGAGCGTGAAAGGTAGAACACACAAACACACAGGGATGTGAAAACGCTTTCAGAGCTTTCTCGGCCTTCAGCGAAGGCCTTATGATGTATTTTTAGTTCATTTTTTATGCAAAACACTCATCATGCTTGTTGTATTCAAACTCTGTCAGTGTTCAAGTCAAGTCAGGCTTTATTGTCATTTCAGCTTTTTACAAGTACACAGTAAAACGAAACAACGTTCCTCCAGGACCAACACAGGAACACAAGTGCAAGACAATACAATAAACACAGAGCAGACAATACAGTACAATAAATAAATACAAAAGACTTATAATAAATAGAAAACAGAGCACAGGCAGTACACGGTACTGAGAGTATGCTGCCGTTGTCTAAAGAAAACCTTGTATCTCCATTTTTGACGTTTTTCGATTTTTGACATAATTTGAAAATACCCATTACCCTTTACATTGTATGCAAATGTCATGATGAATGGACTAAAAGAAATGACCTAATATGATTTGGAAAAACGTCTGGTTCCATTGACTTACATTAAAGTAAAGTAGGTTTTTTCCTTCTCCTGTAAAGTTACCATTGTGGAGATACGAGGTTTTCTTCCCACTACAGCGATGTGGAGCTGTGCAAAGGAGGATGTAACATACTATGACATATTAACAGCTTAGCAGAGCCTTGCATATATGAGCATATCAGTCACTGAGGTAGCAGCCAGAACAGCAATGGTATACAGTGTTTGGTTGATACAGTAATTCTAGCAGCTAACATTGTTAAAGTGAAGTAAAATGTGCAAAAATGAAAAGTTAGATATTGTTGCGGAGATATGCAAAAATGCAAGTATTTAGATCTACAGTCATATCAAACGAAGTATTTCAGTGAAATGCAGTAATTATATTTAAATGCAGTGCTGCAGACATAATTTAGAACTACAAGAAGTGGGGAGTGAGTTATTCTGTGGTAATACTCCATACTCCATACTCAATGGAAAACTATCCAATCAGGATTGTTCTCTCTCTGGTATCTAGGTAGATACAGCCAAGTGAGCTTTCCTATTGGTTTGGACTTCAGGAGCTGGACTGAAGGCCTTGCATGTTAGATTAACTAGCAACATAATTAGGAAGTGACAGAGGAACCAACTAATCATGCTTTGATTTACAATGGGTGGAAACAATTTGGTGAGAAAAATGTCCCTTCTGGAAGGTCTAGATATGCCACTGACTGTGAATATGATAGTGTAAGCAGTGTTCCGGTTAGTTGTTAGGAATGGTAAACAGCGGCAGCAGCTCTATGCAGAATTCTTTACTGGAAGAGTCACTGTAAAACTGATACATACAAGCTCAGATATATGATAATGTCTGTTACAAGCTTCAAATATCTATATTTCATCTGTAACATCAAAAAAAAAACAGCATGTGCACCAGAAGTGCTAACACAGTATCAGAAATGCCATAGGGCCACCAGCAGAAATGAGGTGTTTTTTTTTTTTTTACTTAAGTTTGACCTTTGAGGCTGAAACTGAGGACCACGTCACACTTCACCTTTCATTTAATAACATTCACATAATGTTAAATTAGTTATTCGCTCATTTAGCTGGCCATTCTCAAGCTTTTCTGTAAAATTTAAAATGTTAATGTTATCGTGCCTGTTCCACTACAGGGTGAATATATTCAGGGCATTTTTAAATATAATCTCGAAACATAGCATCATAATTTAATTGAATCAAGGTGACATTTGGGATTTTATGATCCAAACCCCGATGTTGTGAGTTCAGAGTTTCACACGAATGTTCAAAAGTTTAAATTGACATTTTTTGTGTTAATAATTGTTATTCTGTGATAACTTATACAGCGTAGATTGAAATGTTATAAGCTATTCACCTAAACAATACATAATAGCTTATTTACAATTTAAAGAATTTTGAAAAAAAAATTGTTAAAATTTAAAATTAAGTTAATAATAAACTTTAAAATGTTGTTTTTGTCAGAAAAAAATAACTGAAAAGCTTTTTTGTCACCATTTTTCAAATTTGAGGCTTTCTGGATTTTAATTGCTGTTATTTGCGATGCTGTTCAGCTTTCTCAGTTATTATACAACCATCAAAAATGAAAAATGTCTTGATTTTTACAGCTTCGTACAAACATTGTTTTACTTCGCACTCACATTGTTTAGCATTCTTAGCGAAAAGTACTTCGTATGCCAAAAAAGAGGTTCCTTGACAATAGCAGAACCCTTTTTTGATTCTGTACTGAGCCATTTTTGCATAGATTCTTTAAAGAACCATGTTCATCATGTTCTCCATCATAGAAAAGAACCCTTTAGCCATGCAGAAAACTGTTTAAGCATTCAAATGTTTCTTTAAGTTGTCATGTTCTATATAGAACTTTACTAAAAGGCCCCTTTTTAAGAGTGTAGCTGATATACAGTGCTGTGCAAACATCTTTATGCAAGTAAATAAACAGTTTAAAACCATTAATCTGGACAATAACTATAGCCACTATATAACATCAATGAAGTAATAAGTAACATGAATTTCAAAGCTTGGGTCACAGCGTCTCCTCCATGCTCCCAGTCATTTTTTAACTTCCACCAGAATTGAACAAATTCTGGATTTGAATTGCTATTTCAAGTTAATTTGCAAAGCTATAAAGCTTTCTCAACTATTACAGATTCACCTACAGCTTTGTTCACAATCAAAAATGCCTTTATTTTTACAGCTTGGTACAAATTGTGAGGCCTGTAGAATATTAGCATCATATTTCAGTCATTCTATGGATGCATCTGCACTGAAATTGGTTTGATATCATTGTAAACAGTGATTCCAAACCTTCCCTCATATGCTGTCCATTGTGATTCAGACCTACATCACAGACAGATGAAAGCAGACATGCCCATACTCTAAAACTCTGTTAGCAATCGCTATCAACCACCAAACCGGCACCAGCAGGATTCCTTCAGAATCATTACCCACAAACAGTTCATTATTTCAGCTAGCATCGCTAACAACTACTGCCGGGCTCTCTTTCTGCTCTCCTCCTCTCCGTCTCTCTCTCCCTCCAGGCGAGCTCGTTTCTCCTTCCAGTTATATTTCAGGAAACAGACTGATCATATTGTTTAAGGAAGGGAGGGAAGCAGAACGACAGAAAGAGCTCTTTCCATCCCTGCCAGGCCCCATAGCCGCTTGTTAGCGAGTGGTTGGTCCGCCTGGCTGGAGCGAAATGCTAACCGCTGTTTGGCTTTCGCTGTGCCCAGCTTGCTTTACCTTAGCCAAATAAAACCTTTAGTGCCGCTATTTACCCCTGTTAAACTGGGCCTGTGAATCGCTCTCCCGTGGTGTTTGGAGAGAGAGAGGGAGGGAGATCATGAAAATGGGGAGAACAAACAGGAGAGCGAGGGGAGAATTCACGAGACTGTGTGAACTGGCTTTAATTGAAAATGGGAGAACGCTGACAGAGGGATGGGACCCACAGAAAGGCAGATTCTGGTTTGGCTTGCTGTTTATAGCATTTGATTGTTAATTAATTTTGGATCAGTGCTCAGGAATGAAATAAAAAAGCTGAGCAGAACCACTAATGTGGTCCCAACACCAACATGTCGTTCCTAAACTAGTTTATTTTATACACACTGTATGCAAGTGCTGGCCTGAATAACTTAAATATGCAAGTATTTGTTTATGTTGGTATATGTTTACTTAGTGTTTGGAAGCTTTTTGGTGGCTTATTTACCATCATAAAAACAGTAGGAAATGGCAGTGACTTAACCATGGACGTGACATTAAGCCCTATTCGGGCTGGATTAGTATTACCTGGGGACGTGTCATATTTTGAGTGATTACCAATGAGGTCCATGATTTTAATCCAGTACGAATCTGCCATGTCTGTAGTTTTTACAGTCTGATCAGTCATAATTCCAGAGTGAATCACCTCCTATAATTCTCCAAACTCAGAGCTCCTCAGTAACAGCAGCCCTGCTCGAATCAGCATCTCAGTGATATAATCACAAAACCAGGTTTTAGAAAATGAACAAGGCTGAACTCGGCTTCCTATTTGCCAGCTTCTTGTTTACATTTTCCCGTTCCACCTTAAACGTAAACAGTACCTGCTGCACCGTTTAAGGTGGAACAAGAAAATCTGAGTAAGAAGCCGACTTCAGCTTTGTAGAAATGGTGCCTCCCTTTATTTTCTGTTTTTGTGACCCGAAGACGAGGCTAACAGCAAAAAGGAGCTTGATTTGACCCTTAAACCTCAAGTTCATGCCGAGACTGAAATCTACAGCATGTTTAGTGCTGAATTACAAAGAAAAGAAAAATGAAATATCTTGAAACCTCTTCTTGCAAGGCAGTATGTTTTCTGTCTTGCTGGGGGACATTTGGTAAGCTAAATGAGCCCACTTTACCAGCCTAATGCTAGTCTATGTGCTTTTTCGCTACCCAGTGTGTTACGGTGTGGAAGTGTGATGCCTGTCGCCTGATGCTCAGTGAGATGATCTTTGAAATTTGGCTGTTTTGTGTAATTTGGGGAAATTACAGAGATCCTGTACAAATCAGCCAGTCAGTTCACGCATAGATCACATTACCAACCTCTGCTAAAACTAATCCTACTCAAATAGGGCTTTAGGCTATACAAATCACGTCATACTCAGGTGATGTTAACTAAGGTCTGTACACAACAGTGTCCGCTTTTTCTTTGAATGACTAAAACAAGAGAAGTTAGTGAAAGGAATTAAAGTGACAATGTTTACATATAAATACATATTAATTTCACTGTTGAAGGACATTCAGGTGAAGATGTTGAGCATCTTCAGTCATTCGTTTAGCCGCCATGGATATGAGAGATAGAGATAAACAAAGATAGCAGGCCAGCACATCTGACTGCACATCTTAATGAAAGAATTAAGTTAACATTGTTTCTACACTCATTGTCCATTTTATCAGCTCCACTTACTATATAGGTGCACTTTGTAGTTCTACAGTTACAGACTGTAGTCCATCTGTTTCTCTGATACTTTGTTAGCCCCCTTTTACC